CATGAAGATTTGGTGATGGAATATGAACTACTTATATATCTTCGAGCGTTGCGGAAAAAACGTAACGCTCTTTTAGCCAATTCCAATTATAATATTTTGTGCTGTTGCAGAAAAACGCTACTATTTCTAATTATAATATTTTGTGCTGTTGCAAAAAAAAACGTAACGCCCTTTAACTATTTCTAATTATAGTATTTTGTGCTGTTGCTATTATTGCGCCTGTTTCGACATGAAATTTCGTATTGAGCTCGCCATTCTGTTTGATGATCAATAGCAAGTAGACGATAATTATGTAACAGCAAAATAGTGACCCAAGTAGTTGTGTCGAGACGTGAGGTATTGCTTTTGCCATGTTTCTTAATATAAGCAGTTAGTAATTGTTTCTCACTGCTGAACCCAATTGATACAGCAAGTTCGTTGTTTATTTGGAAAGCCCCAGTCTTGAACTGATGTTTGACGTACGAACAACATGAGTCTTGGTAATGTGATAGCAGTAATAGTCTTCTTGGTAGCAGTAGTGGTAGTAGTCTTGGCCTCCGAGAACTTAGGTATCGATTCTCATGTATTTCACCATCTTCTGTCTATGTTAAAAACCTTTGTGCTGGCAGTGAAAGAAGTCACATCCTTTGTTTTCACTACAATAAACACATGCATTTCGTTAATAACATCGAAATATAAGTCGAATACTCCAATAGGATAGGATGCTTACCGCCGTTGTAGGCTTTGTCAATTTTAATAGCAGCCTTATCAACTTGGTATTTCTCAATGACAAAGTTCTTGGCGTACTCATGTAGTTCTTGCTCAACCACTGTATTGTTGATGGTCAATGATAACCATTTAGATGATTTTTCGTAGCCAGACTGCCACTCAATATGAGAGAGAAACAGCAGTGGAAATAACGTGCATGGATGTCCAATTCAGATACGCGTTTCAGGCAAAATTTTTGTTCTGCCTTTTGGTACAGGATGAATTGGTCTTTCACCTTTGTGCCACCTTTTCAATGTAGTGTTTCTAAATAATTGGATGTTTTTTTCCAATTATCATTAAGATGTTGTCTTGCCCATTGTACTCGTTTTTCTTTATGAGCATTGTCATAGCTATTGGTAGGCTTTTGGAGTAACCGATATGGGACCAATGTTCTGGTTGAGAGAGGAGTTTGAATATACTGTCCCAATGCTTTTGAAGCTTCACTGGTAATCTTCTTCAGCTGACTGTTTCCTTTTGTATGAGCTACACTTCTTATTTTTTTGAGCTTGATATATGTTTGTCTTCCTATGTATTTCTTGACCATTGGTTATGCCTTGATTCCATAAGTGTAATATTGTTTGATGTTGTGTTTCTTTGGCAGAAGTCATTTTTTGAACAGCAATTTTGATAATTAGGAAGACAGAATAGCATGTGTGTTATAAACAAAAACATGCACCAAGTGTTGTTGTTTATTTTATTTTTTCAATGACGTGAATTGGATTGTTTTGGAAAAGTTATACGCGTTTTTACCAAACAAAAAATATCTCCTTGTTTTTGTTACACACTGTATAAGAATAAAAATTATTATTAAGAGCAATCTATTACCTTGAAAATAATTTGTAAAGGCTCTTGGATTTATTACACAGTTTACCAACTTATTGAGAGAAGTAATATTTCGAGTCAATCAATATACGATCGTATATCAACCTTGAGATTAAACGAGGCCTTTGACTACCTCACCTTAAACATAATCATGATGCTAGATCGGCCTTGTATACGTTGACCCTAGGTTATTATTTAACCTTACTTCTTTCACTAAATGTGCGTTTATTATTATAAATATAAATAATCCTGATGTCAAAAAAATCTACGAAATCGATGGTAAGTTTGATTCCGTTACTGCTGACGGGAAAAGCATTTTATACTTCCGTCAGCAATAGGGATATCTTCACCAAGAGTGGACAAATTGATTAAAATGTAAGTTTTATTTAGATATAAAAAACTGTTCTAATTGCAAAAATTAAAGAACAATTATTGTCGCGGAGATGGTAGTGCTAGGGAAACTACGAGTGCTTATATATTTTTCTGTCGTTTCACCAAATAAATTAACTAATACTAACAGAACTTCTGTCCCGCCTTCTGTGTGTCATCATCGATTCAAACCAAAAATGTTTCGACCTTGCAGTAGTTAACAATGACAGCCCCTGCTTGCATATCTATACTTGGGACGACGCATTTGTTCTTTTCAAAAGATATTTCTGACAGCAATAACAATAATCGAATTCAAAAACTGGAGGACATTCGTCCGACAACGTGTACAACTGCAAAATTTTGAATAATCGCACGGGGCGGCGCATCTTCAAAAACATTATCCCTAGTTTTTATTGTTAGAATTTATTATAATTAGATCAAAAGACAACATACTCTACTTAAAGCAAGTTGATTTGCAATTACGAAAACCGTGTTTCAGCATTTGTAAAGCTAGCAAGAAATGCACGGTTATTTGAGTAGCGATCCAATATTCAGAGCCAAAGGTTTTAATTTCTTCGGCAACTTTGTCAGCTGCAGACGATAAACCATTGCCTGCGCAGAGGTTTTAACAACTAATTGCATATTGCACGACCAAGACCTTTGAATAGAAAGAGTGATTTTATTAGAATGATGGCTTTGTTGTGATCAATGGAATTGGAAGCTGTCGCTCTCGAATCGATATCATCATAAATAATGCAGGGTAGATATTATCAAAAAGAGCGAGGAGAGATAGAAGAGAAAAAGGATTTGGTCCGTTTCGTATAGCCGGAAGAGGCAATTAATAAAGTGGCTTATGAATGGAATACACGACTCATTATTAATAATGTTTTTCAGATCGCCAGAATGGCTGATCAGATTGGGATTTGCTCATGGACACGGATAATACATTCTTTCAAAGCAGAAATTTGGTAGAATCATAAACGCTGCTTCGGCAGCTGGAATCCATGGAAACTATGGACAAGCCAATTACAGTACTGGTAATGTCATAGAACTATATTCCGATGGTTGGGTGAATTTTTCTAATACAATCTTAACCTTCTAGCAAAAACTTGTCTTAGTTTCATTTACACGAAATCGCCACTTCTCGTATGACCGAAACCATCATGCCACCCGACGTGCTTGAGGCCTTGAAACCCGACCCCTCGTACTGTATCTAGACCTACTAAAGAAGGCAGTTCTCTCTTTGAACTCGGCGATGGGAGCGATCGAAAGGAGCTGTATTCAAGGCCGGTGAAACCTTTACACATAGCGCTATCCTATCGCAGCAAAATGGGAAGAAGTCACGAATTTCCAAAATCCAGACTCAATCTCATTGAATTGTATGAACAAGCCAAGCATCTTCCATCCAACCCGAAAGACAATGACTTGAAATTTGATGGGAAAGTAGTAGTGGCATATGCTTTGATGTTTGGTAGACTCAGAGCTTCATTAGAGATGTTAAAGTAGAATTTAATTTCAGAGCCTTTGCCAAAGCTGTTGCTCCTATATCTCCTATATCATTATACTGAAGGTTTAGAGATGTTAAAGAAGAATTTAATTCCAGAGCCTTTGCCAAAGCTGTTGCTCCTGTACTTCCTATATCATTGTTCTGAAGGTCTAGAAATCTT